GTATAGGCTAGGTTAGTGCTGAAAAAGGCAGGCGTGTGGTTGCAGCCAAGGAGATGGATGCTGGTGGGGAAAGGCTGTCTCTGAGGTGCTGTCATGATAGCACCATGTCTCAGCCTGTTGGTGGCGGTTGTGTGGGAGTATGTCAGCCTTCTGTCCAGGGAGAGCAGTTGTGTGCTGTGGACTGCGTGAAGGAGGGTCAGCTTCTGGTGTACAAAGAAACATCTGAATTGCTGTCAGGAGAAAATGATTTTGTGGCAGCATGGTCCTTGGCCAGTTTTGGGGTTGGTCTAGTTCCTGGGCTTCTGGAAGGGGGTGCCCAAAGGCTGCCTGTGGGGCCTGGTGGTGGGCTGTGAGACTCTTTGCACCCTTTCCCTCACTATCCTGCAGAACAGATAAAGGACAAAATGTTATTTTCTCTCTCCAGGGCCCCTGCCAGAATCTCACCTGCTTCCCGCCTGACATCAAGTGTTTTGGGACTTGTGACCAGGGCTTAGTGCCTGTCCCGCTGCTCTGGAATCAGAGCATTGTACAGCAGCCAGTTTCCTTCCCCGATCTGGTGCCACTCTACAACAAATTCTCCCGGGACTTCATCACTGACTGTGCCCAGCGAGGCCTCCCCTTCCTACTCTACTATGCCTCCCACGTAGGAGAGGGGGAGGGCTGCTCTGGGTGCAAGGGTTGGGGAGGAAGCCTTTGTCCTGTGGGAAGAGCAGGGAAGCGCTTTGGCTCCTGCAGCCCCAGGCATGTACTGAGATGTCAGTACCCAGAGGAAATCCTTACCCTGGCTGACTTGGGGTTGGTGTTCCCATGCTCAAGTCTCGTGATAGCACCATCCTGGTAATGTTCTTGGGCTGTTTCCATCTGGAGCTTTGCCTGCTCCCCTGGGCTAGGAGTCCATCTGGGACAGCCTCCCACCCTCTTTGAAACTCCACATCCTCTATTGGCACTGAGCTCCTTTTGTGCTATTTCTGAGAGGTGACTCTGAAGCCTGGGGGCAAGCCCCTTGTCATTTCATGTGTCTTGTCACGTATCTCCATATCCTAACTGGGGTGTTCACTGTCCCTGGGTGAGTACAGGAACCAGGTGCAGCTCTGAGAGTTTATGTAGCAGTCCTCTCTCCCCTCTCTCCAGCATACACACTATCCCCAGTTTGCAAGTCAGGAGTACACAGGACAGTCACAGCGGGGGCCCTTTGGCGATGCTCTCTTGGAATTTGATGGCTCAGTGGGACAGTTGCTGCAGGCGTTGCAGGACAATGGTCTTACTAACAGGACCCTGGTGTTTTTCACCTCTGACAATGGGTGAGTGGGCTCAGTGGGGGGCAAGATTCCTTTTTGGCAAGATTCTGCTGCCTTGGTGTGGGGGAGCTGGAACAAGGCATTGGGTGGCTGGGGCACAAGTGACGTGGTGTGGCATCACCAGGTGAGACCCCAGTGGCCTGGAGTGAGGCAGGGGGTGATGCTGTTCTGGATAGCACCTGCTGCATGAGCCCTTCCTTGCCCCTGGGAATTGGCTGTTCTTTCCTCATGGGCAGAAACTCCACAGGCTTGGGGCCAAGGGTGTGCAGCTGGAATACCTCCCAATTCCCCTCCTGAGTGGATGACCTTGGTCTCTAGTGCCTTGCTCAGCTGTCTTGTACACCTCAGCCTCCTCACCCCATGCCACCTGCCTTACAAGGCTGAGGAGGGTGGCAGGGTCACTCTTTGGTGCCTTGTGCCATGGCCCCACTGACAGCATTAGGGAAGGGGTAGCGTGGACCTGTGAGACTAACAGGAGGTGATTCCTGTCTCTTCCCTCACAGCCCTTCCACCATGCGAATGGCACGTGGGGGCAGCTCTGGCCTTCTGAGGTGTGGGAAAGGAACAACATATGAAGGTGGCATGCGGGAACCAGCAGTGGCTTATTGGCCAGGCCGCATCACTCCAGGTGAGACCTGGTGTCACTTGTCTTTCGTGTGCTGGTGCTAGCTGAGGCAGGGGAGTTGTCACAGCTCAACTTTCCTGGGACAGGCAGAAGAGGGGAGAGAAGTGGTGAGGATGGCAGGGGCGGGAATGGGATCAGGTGCTTGAACCTTTCTTTGTGCCTTGCTGTGGTGGCAGGAGTGACCCACGAGCTGGCAAGCACCCTGGACATCCTGCCAACACTGACTGCCCTGGCTGGAGCAGCTCTCCCCAGTGTTGCCCTGGATGGCTATGACTTGAGTCCAGTGCTGTTTGGATTGGGGAAGGTGAGTTCTGCAGGCCAGTTCTGACTAGTGCAGCACATGGAGGCTGGGTGTGGGGCAGTGGCTGTCTGCCTGCTGAGTAGCCCCAGCTGGGGGTCTGGGTAGAGCCATGAGCTGGGAGATTTTCTGGTGCAGGCCCAGGCCATGCCATGGAGTTCCTCGGCTTCTCTGGTCTGCTCTGAAACATGCTCTAACAACTGCAACATGTTGGCAAGCCAAACACCCAGGGCTGCAGTGCCTGGACAGAGCCTCAATTCCTTTGTTTTGGGAGCGAGTAGGATGCTGTTGCTCATTGCTGTTCCCACTCCATCCTGATTGCAGTATCAGGGCTCCTATGTGACTCCCTAGAGACTCTGCTTGGTCCTGTCCCAGCCTCTCCTCCAGCCTCACACCTGTACAGGTGACCTCAGCTCTGTTGCTTCCCACAGAGTCCCCGTCAGATGATGTTCTACTATCCGCCGAGCCCCGATCAACTGCATGGCCCCTTTGCTGTCAGGCTTGGGAAGTACAAGGCCCACTACTTCACACAAGGTCAGCATTGCCTCCTCTCCTCTGCACCAAGGTGGCTTGGTGAAGTCCCATCTGGTTTTGCTGTCCAAAGCTCAATGAGAGGAAACTGAGCTATACTTGGGGACTTCTTTTGCAGGTTCCTTTCACAGTGATACCACCCCTGACCAGGCCTGCCATGGGCTGACCCCGCTGACTCCCCATGTGCCCCCAC